GAATTGGAGCAAGCATGGTGAAATCAGTGACTAAGACAACCATCAATTTGAAGTCCCGAGTCAAACAATACGAAGTCAATTTACCATGTCACACCCTGCCTGTAATAGTTAATGAACTACCACGGATTCAAAAACCAGTCAAGGGCCAACCGCAAATGTTTGGAAGAGGAGGAAGCCTTTCAACACTTCAAGGAGGATGTTAACCGGGATCAAGAAGGGAGATTCRTCTTGAAGTTACCAATTAAGCAGGAAGCAAGACAACTTGGAGACACTATCGCAACGGMTACATCACGTTTTATTAGCATTAAGAGAAGAATGCAAAGAGACAAAAACTTACAAGACAACTACCGCAAGTTTATGGAAGATTACTTAGAACTAGGCCATATGAGAGAAGTTTCAGGTGAAACATTGATACCTCATCCTGTATGTTACCTACCACACCATGCAGTCTTTAAGACCACAAGTTTAACGACAAAGGTTAGGGTTGTGTTCGACGCATCAGCAAGAACTTCGTCAGGYGAATCCTTGAATGATATTCTAATGCGAGGACCAACCGTACAAGAAGATATATTCTCAATATTGAGTCGCTTCCGTAAGCACCAATTTGTTTCGCCAGATTGCTATAGATGAAGAGCACTGGGACCTCCAACGCATACTTTGGCGATTCAATCCCGAGGAAGCTCTCAAGACCTACAAATTATGTACTGTCACTTATTGCACCACCCCAGCTTCGTTCATGGCAACACAATGTTTGGTAACCCTCTCAGAGCAATTCAAAGAAAAATATCCCAGGGCTTCTTGTATCATTAAGTCAGACTTTTATATGGATGATCTGATGACGGGTTGTGATTCAGTAGAAGAGTGCAGTMAATTGCAAGATCAGATCACAWCCATCTTAAACTCTGCAAAATTACCGCTGTGGAAGTGGTGCTCAAATTCTGCAGCCGTGTTAGAAWGAATCGGCAAACGTGGAAATGATCCTTAATTTACACTGAATTTAGGTGATGACGAAGCAATTAAGTATTTAGGATTGGGTTGGAAACCAGTGAACGATGAATTTCTTTTTAATATTACCGCCTTACCAGATAGGTCAAGATTAACAAAAAGAATACTTTTGTCAGATCT